CTCAGCATCAAACTATAAATATTTTATGGTATCAATTGATTGGATACACACACGTATAAATTAATTTATTTAAATTTTTTTTTTTTATTAATATACCATACTATTTTTCTTCCTGTTTTTAATATATAATTCTAAAATATTACTAACACCTTCCTAAAATTATTATAAAATTTTAATCTTACCCTCCCACCTAAAGTTCTTGGTCCGTCCTTGATTGATGACATAAATAACCAAATATTAATATAGAAAAAATTTCTAGCAAATCACATTATTGAAAATTTCTAGCATCTCACGTTATTGATATATCCATTCAATTAAACGTTTAATATTTTAATTTGTTGAGAATAATTTTTAGTATTGATAAATAGTGTATAGATTAAATCGAATATAGCAAACTCAGTATCTTTTCCTTATAAATGAGGCATTAATTTCAGAATTCACTCTCTATTAAATTATAGCAATACAATAAAATAAGTACAAATAATTTGATGAAATATGTGTATTAATGATGCTTTAAATGGTGCATATGATCTCTCCATCTATGGAATTCATTTAACATGATTGCTGAACCGATTGCATGAGATATCTATGAAATTCATTAAAGAATACGATTGCTAAACGATTGGGTTATTATCTTTGAGGATTGGGTTATTATCTTTGAGCATTTAGTATATTCAATTAATGGTATACAGTATATATTGTAATTATCTGATTATTTTATTGTGCAAGTGCAAACGCTTGCACAACACTCATATAAGCATTGTAATAATCAAGCGCGCACTCTGAATATATTTTTCATGAACTTTATACCAACATGTTTGTTGATTGATGCTTGAAAAGTAATGTGCACACTGAATATATTTTTCATTAAATTTATACCAACATGTTTGTTGATTGATGCTTGAGAAGTAAAACGACGTCGCTGTGTTGTATAGATCACTTATATATATATATATATGACTATATGAGATTCTAGATGACAAATTATTAGGTAGCAGTACTTTTTTTTTTTTTGACCAATTATTAGTACTTTTTTTTTTCCCGGAAGTTCAATTATTAGTACTTTACTGGATAGATTATATGGATGGATAGATTAGTATGTGTAACCTTGAAAAGCGAGACTTTCAGTTTGATCTTCCCAATGCTTTCTAATTTCCTTCGTAAAAGACAAAATGGACCTCCAGCCCCACCTATAGCATTCACATTTATCCACTCATTCTCTTCAACGATATCTCTATCCCACTAAAACGAATAAAGAGTTTTTCTTTTTTAACATTTATATTTTCCACATCATTGGATACAAATTATATTTGGTGATTTATTTTTCTAATCGATATAAATATCTTTCTATGTCAAGTTTGATAATTATCCTTTGTGAACAACTTCATGTATCAAGAAAAAGAAAATTTCAATATATATTATATTATTATTATTCTTTTGACTCAATCGGACGTGATTTTTTTTTTCCTTAATACGACCGTGTCAATTTGTAATTATTTCACTCTATAATATTTGAAGATGTCTCTAGTACTGTAGTAAAATATTTAAAACAAAAGTAAGTTTTGCCTCCAGGACAAATCCGTTCATTTTTTATTTTAAAATATAAAAAAATATTACTGAACTACAACGGTGAATACACACATTATTTTTTTAATTAATTAATACTTTCTCCTTCCCAATTTAATTATTCCAAGTAACTGTCTCATCTTAAAAGTCAAAGAGAAGATAAATATATTTTTTCATCTTTTAATGGTTTGGTTAGCATGAACTAACAAAAAAAATTAAAAAATAGAAAATTTTAAAGTTTTTAGCAGTTTGATTAACCGTAAAAAGAAAAGTTTTTTAAAAAATAATATTCTTACAACTCGTTGATTTTTCTAAAAAATATCCTTCCAAATACATGCAAAAATTCTACTCTCCCGCAATTCTTTAAGTTATGACTTTTTTCCACACCCACAAAAAAAGTGCGCTAATATAATACAATAGTATAGTCCTAATATAGATTGCAAACTTTAAAAAATAATAATAATAATAATAATATTCAAATATCAAAGTTGTATTTAGAAAAAAACACACACATATATTATTATTATTATTATTATTATTATTATTATTATAGTAGTGAATAGTGATCTCTTGCTCGTCGCGGAGTTAAAAAATTCTTTGCACTTTCTATAGTGAACATTAAATTAAAATATAACATCCCCAACCTTGTGTATAATTTTTTTTTTTTTTTTTTTTTTAAATCTGATGTGTCATAATAAATTTACACAAAAAAAAATAGATTATTTATTTTTAGGTCTAGCTGTTTAATACTTTTTGTGTAAAAATATATCCCCAATAACAACTAAGCAGTGTCATGCATTTACATAATTTTTAGAAACTTGATTTGTTAATGATGTTTTATAAAATACACAACAAATTTTTTCATTGGTGATGTGACATTACTTAACGGACTGCTAGAGATTAAAAAAAAAAAATTACACAAAATACGTGGTAGTGTATATTTTACACAAACTGCTAGAGATTAAAAAAAAAAAATTACACAAAATACGTGGTAGTGTATATTTTACACAAAAGAGTGTTTTAAACCGTTGTGTGTGTGTGTTGTGCAAGAGACACTATCAGGTTACCACACTGGCGAGTTACGGGTGCACAAGTCCCACATCGCCTGAGTAGAGGAAAGGTGGAGTGCTTATATGTAAGTGCATCATCTCCAATTAATATGAGGCTTAAGCCCAAGAGCAAAACCGTGCGAGCTCAGACCCAAAGTGAACAATATCATACCATGTGGATATATATATGTTTGTGTAAATCTAATAAATCATGATAGATTTATACTCTAGCGTTGTTTTATATTTTTTTTGTAAAAATATACCCTCAATAACAACCAATCAGTGTCATAACTGGATCTCACATAAGTTTTACAAACTTACTTAATATAGGGTTAATTCGTTAATGGAATGAGATAAAAAATTTACACATCATACATGGCAATGTATATTTTATACAAAATAATATCTCAATAGACTGTTAAAAATGCTCTAATGACCACATTCTAAACCAACTTATATACTATATTTTTAATACAAAATCACTATCACTATTTCTAGTTTTCAAATTTAATATTTATCAATATCACTAATTATAACAATAAAAGGTAAATACTAAAAAAATAGAAATAGAAATCTCTTGAATCACATCTCACTACTAATTGGATTTTTTGTTTTCTTTATATTCTTTATAAAAATATATATTAGAAAATTACATCTACAACTTGATACTAAAGTTGACATTGCCCATTTGTTTGAGTGTGAAAAAGAAATTAAAAATTATACTATTGATGTACGAAACATTGACTCAAAAATAAATAACTAAAATTAAAAATTAAATCTCTATATTTATACCGCTTGATCAACTCAAGGTAACTTGTGAGATTACAATTTAAATTATTATATACTTCCCTAAATATATGCTATTTAAAATTTTGAAATTGAATCTATTTTTTTTTACCATCAATATTTAGGTCTTCATTAGTGAAGATCAGTACCATACTGGCCGCCGATGTAGACCAATAATAAATTTTGTAGATCTACACCATACTTCTTTGTCAAAAATTGTCTTATCTTTCTTATTTATTTTGTTTTGTTTTTTCTCAGATTATAACTAGTTGTAAACACGTTCCAAACTAATCAGCGTCATAATACTCTAATTATAAAAATTTATTGACGAAGATTCATTACAAAACACGTTATTATTCCATAAATTTTTAAATTTTCTTTGTAAATTAATTCATGGAATCCCGTTTGAATCAATAAGGATCACCTTGCAAGGTTAAATACCTAGGTGACAGATAGCGAAGTAGTACCGTGCAGGAATTAAGGATGAAAAGAACCTCCATCAGGGAGTGAAATTGAACATGAAACCGTAAGCTCTCAAGTAGTGGGAGGAGCCCGGGGCTCTGACTGCGTGCCGGAACCGTAGCAAAAGCGAGTCTTCATGGTGCAATTGTCACTGTTTATGAACCCGAAATACTCTAGTCATTTCCTAGTCAAATTTTTTTTTTTTTCACCATCATCTTTTATTTTTTATTTTTTTGTGAGTTAAAAAGGCATGAAAGGGCCTCAAGGAAGTTAATATGTACAGTTACAATAAAGACATCAATCCACATCTATTATTACATGATAATCCCAATTCGATTTGATCACAAACTAATTGCAGGAGACAACAGAGTGGAAGATTTCATCATGGACTATTAGGTTTTGAGGTACCATTCATCAACTCTTGCATATGAACAGAAATACTTTGAATCAGTCAATTAAGTGATGGATGCAATTTTCTAATTTTCTTTTATTTTGTTATTTACAAATAAAACAAAAATCCATTTTAGTGGTGAGACCTGATTTTTTTTTTTTTTCCAGAGATGAAGAGATTTCTATTTTTTTTTTGGTATTTACCTTTTATTATTTATTGTAATTAATTGTATTAGTAAATATTAAATTTAGAAATTAGAAATAACGAAGGTGGTTTTGTATTAAAAAAAAAAAAGTATATAGGTAAGTTACATAAATATTCTTTCCAACTATTTATTATATGTCAATTCACATGTTATTCTTATCTTTTTAAAATTATTTTTAATAACAATATCCAATGTTAATTTTAGCATCATCATCGTCTTTTATTTTCCATTACAAGTTTATAACTACTTTCTTCCATAATTTTTTATTATTATTTTTCATTTCTCATAATGTAATGAAGTGTCATTGAAGGTATTGCTAAAAGCCTAAAACTTTCTTATGTTATGTTTAAAAGCATCAAATTAGTAGATTAGATTTGAAATAAAAAATATATATATAAGGTTAAAAATTTGAACGAAATTACCAAATCTAAGGCGCACATTGAGTATTCTCAAACGGTAACATTATGTAGTAACATTTATCGCTTTTTCCATCCAAAAAAAAATTAAATCTTTCACTGCACATTATTTAACACATGAAGTCAATTTTTATGATTTATTTCAGTGAGGGATTGTGTATACAAAAAAGTACTACTGTCTGGTCTACATGTGGACCATGAGGTATGGCACCAAATCTCCAATTATAGTATCGTGAGGGCGATTTAGCAATTAGAAGCCACAGTGACGTTTCAAGATAGGAGAATTTCAACCTTAGTGTTGCATTAAATGGCTTTTATAAGCAGCCAAACAAATTCGAATCGTATGTCCATTAAAATGGACTGCAGAAGCAACCAAAACCATTCTGTAAAATACGGAAACAAGAATCCAACCAACTTTCACATACAATCAAGGGAAAATCCTCTTGTCCCCCATTTTTAACCACATCCCATTTTCTATGGTAATACACAATGAAGAATCAATCACCCCTCAAACTAAAAACCACTTGACACAGAAAAGCAAACCAGCTCAATAGGTCAGGATTGTACTTTCACTTAAGAGGGTAGTAGTGTTACTCCACTAATTACTTTTACTAGTATTAAAAATTTTAAACACGAGCCATCACAGAAGCTGAAGCTTCTTTATGTCATGGGTCTCATGTACGCCAAACCCAACAGGAGGTCGTCCTTGTCTCAGCAGACAAAGACCCACTGCCCATTACTTTGTTTTTGGGTTCAATGCATTGAAATCAGCATAAGAGCTCCATTAAAAACATTAGTTTTTTTTTTTTAGCTTTTGATCCAACCCACCCTTTCACATGCATCTTCACAATCCCAACACCAAGAAGGGTAAAAAAAGAGACTTGCAAAAATATTCACACAACCGAATCAAAACAAAAGCTAGGCGTGGGCTTGGGTTGACGTGCCACTGTCACGCTAGAAGAGAGAGTTTGTAAAGAACACATGCAAGTCTAGTGACATCATGTTTCACAAAAAAAAAACCCCAAATCCCAAAATTCACAAAGAAACAAAATAACAAAGCTGTTAATAGTCTGGTCTTAACATGGATATGAATTCACCATGAAGGAGAAGTACAAGGAGATCCAGACGATGATGAAGAAACACCATTGTTACTATTGGAATCACTACCTGAAGTGGCGAGAGACCGAGCATCTCTCAGACAGACTGAACATCCCTCTGCTGGAAGCTTTTTCATTGGAGTTAACGGAGGGGTAGTTGGGAGAGAAGAGGGACTAGATGGCGATGGTTGGTCGTCGTCGCCGGAAAAACCACCCATTTCTAAGTGGGACGGTGAAGTATCCGGCGTTTCAAATGGGGTGTCTGCTCTACTTGGCATGCCGGCTTCATTGTCGTAAATTGGATTGGATATGTACATAAACTGCTCCTCACCTCTACCACAAACTCCATCATTGCTAGTACTACTATCACCTTGAAGTGAAACTTTTGGAATTAGAGGAGGTGAACATACAAAGGAAGGGGAAGAGGGTGAGGGAGTTACCAGCCCGATTCGATGTGGGGTGGAGCTGGGTGGTTGGGTTTGAAGAGGTTGAGACTGTTGCTGCTTCTCTATATCTGACTCCAGTTCTTTCTCAGACACTGCGGGGAACAGGAAGTTTCTCGGAGCCCGAAGAACACCTTGCGCGTAGAAACTACTGAGGGGTGGAGCAGCACCTGATTCATCTTGGGGTTGCTTGTGGAGACAGGAAGAATCAGTGGCAATGGCAGTGGTGGTGGTGGCAGCGGTGGTTGTACTTGAAGTGGTGATTTCTTGCTTTCGTCGACGAAGTAATAGTGAGCAGTACAACTCGGCTAGTAATACCAGCACCAGGCCTAATACTATGGCGAGACCCACTACCATGACAAGAGTTGCCCCCATTATCACTTTGGAAGTACCCTTCATCTCTCTCTCTCTTGTGGGATGCGGAGTGAAAAGAAAGGGGGCTGTAATAAATGGAAGGGTGAGAAGACGTTTTTTGGCGGGAAAGACTTCACCATGGACAAGGAAAGTAGATAGGAAGGGAATCTTGCGGGAAGTTGTGGAAGGCTTTTATTCTGATGTGGTGGGGCTTCCTGACATTCGAGGCCATTTTTTACACCAGATGGCTTAATACCAGTCTCCGAAAAGGACAATAGTACCTCGATTACCAGCCACCCAAAAACTTGCGTGTCTATCAAAATAAGCTCGATATGTGCTTCCAAATATGTAGTGTGACAACAGTACTTAAACAAATAAAACAGTAATCAGTAATCAATTGTTGAACTAAAAGAAAATCATCATGAGCTGTGGAACACTGATAAGCAATACCAAACTTAATCTCGATCACCACCGTCTATTTATTAATCTGCGGAATATGTGTAATGTAACGTTTAACATGCATGGTTACAACTTTACAACCAAGTTCTCAACTAAGTGAAACTTAGGACAAGCATATATTGCCCGTGGATGCCATGGATTGCAGAAAAGAGTAATACCAACATACACTACATGCATGGCAGAGTAGCATGTAACCTTTCATTGAAAGATGGGAAGAAGGTGACACAGGGCTATGCTCTAGTAACAGAGTTGCAAGGCAATTATTCAGGGACACTTCAACCCCAGTGTTTACGGGCAGAGCCCTTCGTGGGAGCAAGGTTAACCACCCTTTCTGCCGGCTCACCAACGGACACACAAGTGAAGAAGATAATAATTAATAAATTGTCGTGCAAATAGAAGAATATGCGATTTCTAAGTTTTACTTACTCTTACACTTTATCTCCCTCTCAGGGCTGCAAACCGTTTGGCCAAATCATCATAATCTGGTAACTTGGGATGCACATGCCGTGCTTGGTTACCTGGCTGAAAAGAATTGGTACGAGCAAAAACATTTTTTGCCTCTGAAGGGGCAGTTTGCTCACGAGGGAGAGAAATGGACCTGGTTGGAGGAGCAACCATTTCTGGCTCTGCCACAGGCCCATCTCTGCTGCTATTTTGAAGGGCAGCATTGGTAGCTATCTGATGGGAAGGATGATCTTTTGACCTTTTCCCCACCTTCCCTGGTTCGTAGATTGATGGTTTCTTGCTGAAATGTAACAACAACTTATCTAGAACCCTTTCATCTTCATCTTTGTGATGATGCTCATCCTCAAACAAGATCTGCAAGCCTCTTCTTGAGTTATCTCTTCTCCTGCTACTTGAACCCTTTCCAACTCCTGAATCTCCAAAATTGCCAAGATCATTCCGAGTGGATGATGATTTTTTTGAGTGTTTCCTTCTAACTGATCTTGGTTTTGGCAACGGTATATCATCCTGACAAGAAGGATCTTTCTCATGACAATGACTATTCACCCTTGCTGGTCCAACAAACTTCCCCTCGTGGTTGGGTTGCTCTGATTCCATCCGAATCCTCTCTGACCCATTAACTGCTTTCTCTTTGTTATGGCTTGAAGGATCAATGGAGGCTTCACCACAGTAAAAACTGGAATCTTTAGACCCTTTATTTGAACCATATTTGCTACCTTTGGGTTTAGTATATGGAGAAGGTATGCCATTATCTTCCGACCTAATGTATGGTGGGGGGGGAGCATTGTTGTAGAAGGACTTCACCCTATCTGTCTTATCCTCCTGTACTTTTTTTGTTGAGCTTGCAATACTCTGTTGTCCAACATGGTTATGACTGGAAGACGAGACATCTTTATCCTCACGCTTAATTGGGAGTGCTTCAGAACATACAGCAGCTAATGGTTTTCCATGAGAGGGAGGGTCCTGGCTATCTCTCCCTGGGGAAATATGTACCTTATTATTATGATGCTGGTATCCTCCATCAATAAATTCTCGCCTTGCTCCACGAGATGAACTACCTGCTCTTACTGTGTATACGGTATTGTCCCTGTTTGGGATAGGTGGTTCTTCCCTGCTGGCAAGGGGCTTGACTCCATTACTGGTGAATTCCATGCCATTCCGCATCATCTGTTTGTTGTTACCAAGCTCATCCCTTTCTTTAGATGAAAGATCCCGTTTGTGTGCTCTTGGGATTTTGTCCTTACCATTGGGTAATTTGTGTCTATCATCAATAACATGGGAAGGCCCATATTTCCCAGGTTGGTCCTGCAAAATATTCATAGAAGTTGCAGAAAAGTCAAGGCTTGGATCAGATATTAAACAGGATTATCAAATGAAGTTGGTTTCTTTAAAATTAGTTGCAAAGAAGACTACCTCAATTTTTTAGGGTGGATAGGATGTCTTAAATCCATTTTATATTATCACCTTTCTTTCTAATTGATCAGTCATAAAAATTTAGGATGTAAAAGGGTGTTACCTCCGTAAATGCAGGGGCAGTAGTAAGGATCTGTTCATAACCCCTGCAGTCCCACTTTACTGAAAACTCCAATGCTATGTCTTGCAGTAACTGGAGTTTCTTCTCCATTGTGGGAGGATTTGAAGCAAGTTTCTCAACAAACTAGTAAGAGCAACTAAGCCAATCAGCTGCGTGAAAAGATCTATCATATTATTAATGTACTGTTCAGAGTGGATGCATGGGAAATCACCTTTTGATTCACATAATATTCCAAGGAATTTCCATATCTATCTTGAAACGTATCCCTAAGATCACGGAGTTCAGGCAAATCAGAAAATCTAGCTGCAGCAAACATCAGAGATGACACAGCCTCCCTACATTCTTCTGGGCACTCCCTGAAAAGAAAACAATAAAGCAAGTGGAATGTCGAATCAAATTTAAGTTGTTTCAATTTAAAGTCTAAAGCGTGTAATACATTGGATAGTGGCCCTTCAAGCTGAAACCCTTGAACTTAAGAAATATAGTTTGTACGTGGGGCAACATTATATGCTGATATATGCAGATAAAAGTCAACTAAAACTGTTTAGTTATCCATGCTCTGAAGTTTATTTTCTATCTGTAGTTGGAACTTAAATGAGAAAGCTTTTGACCCAGTGCTCCACAAATGTATTGGAATGCATTTAACTGTTGAAACCATAAAGACTGACAGATATGCAACTAAATATAGACACCACCAGTAATTAATGTGTGATTGATTGATCATATTGTTGCAGATGGAAACCTCAGAGTACATTCAAGCATTTTTTTTTTTTTTTTTTTTTTTTTGTGCTTTTGATTGGTAAGCGGGTGAGATTTCATTCAATCAGAACAAGAGACATCCCTACAAAAGATAAAGCAGGAGCCACGACTGGAAAGAATCACCCAACAACTTAAAATGCCAAACCGCAGAAAGGGAATGCAGATTGTCAATTTCGAAATAATATGCATCAATTTGTCTATTTAAATTTTCTCCCAATAATATTTTTCACCAAAAGGTAGATCTATATAGCCTACAATCAGCTTGTTCCCATCTTTTGTGATGTCTATGCAACTCCCAACTTATTTGGAGTCTCAATCCTTTTTCTACAGGCGACATAAGATATGCTTGCATAAGGGCCTGTGGTTCTTATAAAGGTTTATAGTTTGATTAAGGATATTTTATGTCTAAGCCTTCTTGTGAACTAGTAATTCAAAAGCGCTACATTTGATGCCCATCCTAATGTTTTCAAACGCCACTTTGCCAAACATATAAAATGATATCCCAGATCCATTGACCACTCAATATCCATGCCTGAACACAAAGCCTACTGTAATTCCAGAGATGAATTCCATATATAAGAGCTATAAACAGTACCCAACCTACTGATTCAATGGAAATAAATTGGCATAAGGTATGCATATTCTGTAATGCTGCATCAGAACAAGCATGATCAAGAAGATATGCCAGTGAAAAAAAATCTCTGTTTTCTAGTAAGTCCTGTTTGTTTTTTGCAGAGTTCTTAGTGATGGGAACCAAAATATAAATAATCACATATTTATGCACAAAAATGCTATTGCTGTACAATCTGACAGCCAACAATATTAATAGATACCGCTATAGCATGTCAAGCATAACAATTCAACACAATTATTTTACGTTGCTGGTGTATGATGACATGAAAAGTATTCTTGAAAGAAAAGACAACTAATAATTATAACACTGTTACTGCCCATCAATCATACCTTTGTTTTTGCATGATAGAAAGCTGCTTCAATATGTATTCACAAGACTGCTCAATGAAGTCATAGCAAAACAAGAGGCACAGCCCAGCGAAAAATTCTTCAGTCTGTTTCACATCCTCACATAAGAGAAAACTTCCGTAAGAGAATTTTAAAATTGGATAACAAATGTGCTAAAGTTTAAGAGCATATACATTATACACTCACGTGGGATCATAAATATGAATTAATGAAGTTGGATGTGATATAAATTAAAAAATATATATTTGTTCTGTCCATGTCATGATTTTGGAACCAATCTCTTAACTGGTGAGTGGTGACGTAATAAAACTTGATACTGGAGACCAGAAGTTCATGTTCATAATTCATGCTGTATTTTAGAAGGCCACAAACCAAGGAAGAGGAGTAAAAATGTGGTAGAACTGCTTAGAAAACAACTAGAGGACAAGAAGAAAATTTTTTATTTTGAAATGCTGATTGTTCTTTGTAACCACAAGAAGTATTACAGGATTAAAGTTTGTCTTCGGGGAGACATTCCAAGATCTCAATACTCGTATCAGTAGCAACAAAGAAAACCTTGACAATTCCGTTTTATTTATTTTTCATCTATAAGTACATTCTTCTTTTTCCATGGGGTTAAGATTAAAAATATTCTACAAAAATGTATTAAAGTACACGCAAAATGAATGCACTAAATCACATATATTTTTTGAAAGAATTTATCTTGCTTACTAGAGAATAACTAAAACGAGTTTCTTTTGAAAATTCATACACTGTAACAGCCTACAACAAAAAAGCTAAATAAATGACTAATGCACGGGTAATCAAGTCCAATGCATACAAATATTAGCATCTCCACAAATTCCACATGAAAGAGAGAGTGTGTGTGTGTGTGTGTGTGTGTGTATTGCGTCTCACAGTTCTATTCTTGTACCCAAGCATGAACCACATTGATGTGTAATATCTTTGGTTTACATACCATACACTGAATATTATACTTCATGATAAAGTGCACAAATTCATATTATAATAATTGATACATATTGTTCCGCCTGATTTGTGTCAAACACTAGTACTTTGAAATGTTAATCAAATAGTGCGAAAAATTCTTATACTCTAACAGCCTACATAAAAGAAAAGAAAAAAAATCAAATAAATGACTAATGCACGGATAATCAAGTCCAATGCATACAAATATAAGCCCACGAAATAGAGGCACAAAATAAAATTCAAACAGCTCCAACCATTTGAAAAAAAGAGAAATAAAATGTTCGTGACACAAAATCAACAGCATAACTCATTTAGTTTCAGTCTTCAAATTGTTGCACCTCCTTTTGTTTGCTGTGAAAGTGAAACAAAAAAAAAAAAAACAACAAACAAACAAACAAACAAACAAACAAAATTTTGAATTTTGAATTTTTTATTCTGTTCTGTGCCTTTTTCAGAAGAGAAATTATAATAATAATTAAGGTAATTAAGCCAAAGTAGCTCTGAGGAGGAGAGTCGAAAACATGTAAAGCTCATTAGAACTCATTTATTTTCTGAGGAAACAAAGATAGATTGGATTAATTCAACATTTTATTCATCCAAAAAGAAAAAAGAAGAAGATAAATTGGATCAAACTCTATTTTGAACTAGCATCATCAAAGCAAAGATCGAACCAACACAATAATAAAAAAAATTATATCGAGTAGGGAACAAAAATCAATTATACACCCTTATGAAGGCATTGGTAACGAGGCCGTTAGCAAGTAGATCGGCAATGTCTTTCTTCATAATCCTCTGTCTGGCATCCTTATTCCTTCGTATCACATCGATTCGCGTCCTCATCATCTTAATCAACGATTTACTACATCAGAGTACACAAATCAAGAATGCATCAACACAAACAGAAAGAGAGTATACATTTATGTATATGTGTGTCTATATAGAGAGAGAACACTCACCATTTGGAGCTGAAACCTCGCCCTAACAGTCCGTCCAACATCTTCGATCGCGGTTCTTCGATCAAAACAGAGATCTGGACTAACTCGGTACAAACACAATGTTTTTGAAGTAAAAGGAGCTCTCTCTCTCTCTCTCTCTCTCTCTTCTAAACACACACAGTCACACACACACGGCTTTATACAGTGAACGGGGCATTTTAACATGAACTCCTGCGTCTCACACTTTTCAAATGAGTATAACTTGAATGTACGATAATGCCCTACCCTTTCACTTTAAGACCGTGTCCGATACCATGTATGAAGGTTCTTGGTGAGGGGTAATTTGGGTATTGTTGGTGGGTCATGTGTGCGGATAAGCAGGCGGGATTGGGCGAGTAGGAGAGATTATGGCCATATGATGTGGTGACTTTTTTTTAAAATCAGTCAAGATGTAAAGTGGACGGTCCAGATTGGTTATCTGTTTGGATTGACATTTTTTGAAGGAACGTTTATTTGCTGGGACTGCGTGTGATGATTACCAACAACCATTTGGACCCTCAGAACCGTTGTGTCAGTGAAAAGCTTAATAATGTAACGGCCGTTAAAACGGTCTTTGCCTGATTTTTAAGTAATATCTAAATACTGTAATTGCGATAGTTTCAGTATATATTTAAGATTATAAAAATTCACTAAATTGGGAAAATATAATATTAAATTAAATTAAAAAACTAGAAATCGTTTACGAATAAAACTTTTAATTCAAATTTCACATGAAAAGGTAACAATAGAACTGCAAAATTATTTTGTACCTTTCTCTTTCTGTATTTGCTATCTAAACTTTAAAAATTAATGTCATATTCATAATCCACAATCATCATTGTTGTTCTATAATTATATTATGAAAGCTATTGTTCACACCAACAAAGAAAGCGACAGCAGAAGTTTTCCCTTTAATGGCTTATCATATACAGGAAACCAAATTAAAACATCAAATCTCAAGTGTTATGAGGTTGGGTTTATACCAAGTCTAATTTTCTCTCGTCTCTAATTTTCTTTTCTCACCATTTCTCAGCAAACAAACATGCATAACATTGTAGGTGGCCCGAATGTAGGACTACATTAGACCTTTTGGTAGCAACTCTTTAAGCTTTATCTATTATCAAATGTAACAACTTTTAATTCAAACTCATCCATAAGTTGGTATTGCACTTCCTAGTCAGCACGACCCACATGCGCGCGATCAAACTTATCATGGAAAACGTATTGGCCAAAAGAAAGAATAACATTTAAATATAGATATCATGTTATATGTAATTATGTACATGATTATATATATTTATGTATGTATACTATATACTAAAGTCATCCCCTGGTGATTCCTTCAAAAAAAAAAAAAAAAAATCAAAATTTCCATATAATTTATATCCAATTATCTAAACGAAAGGTTAAGAAATAGAGTAATTTTTAATTCAAACTGAGACACAATTAATCATCTTTTAAATAGCTTTCTCCCACGTGTTAGTTGTTCTTATGTGTGTCCCCTAAGTCCCAACTTTTTCTCCTAGGCATCTCTTGTATATATGGTATATGTATATTATATACTTGCAATTGGATAATTAATTACTACTTGCACGTTAATGAGAGATGCTAGATTCCAGTCTACAGATAGATTCCACATCAACCGTTAACGTATAACTTATATATATGTGTGTGTTTATGTTGTAGTCTGTAGAACACATAAAAGCTTAAATTTTTAATTGTTAATTTTTTATTTAGACCAACTGGGGGGGTGGGATTCCGGAGATTTAAGAAAACTATGCAATTACATTTTGATTCATTACCACAAAATAGTCTCAAACCTCAAACAATAGCCATTTTGACTCCTAGAGTACTTTGCAGGCCTGTATAAGAAAACAGATAAAAAATGCTTGAAATTAGATCTCTTCTTTTACCTTTGTGATAAAATTATTAAAATTGAACATGTGTAAAGTTATAACATATTGGCTCAAAAGTGTGTGAACAATTCGTAAATATTATATAATCTTCGAAAGATGAGAGACAAGTTTCAAGTTTGTATGATTATTTCATTTTATGAAAATTTCATGATGGCAATGCCATTTAAAATTGAGCAAATTGAAGCTCTCCTTTGACCTAAAGGCCATGAAACACAACACACCTGCAAAGGATTGATTAAGATTTAAATTATTAGAGAGACAATAAGAACTAGACTTAGAAATTACTTCGCTCTAATCTCATAGTATTAATTAGCCATTCTAAAATTTTAAACTATTAAAAAAAAAAGGAAGACATAAAACTATTTCTCATCATGAGTAGACTAAACATGTTCATTCATAAATTATCATTATCATTCACCTGGGTCAAGTCTGTCAAAAAGGAGAAAGAGGAGAGAGAGTTAAAAAACAAAAAAGCCCAAAAGTAAAATATTTGTTGAGAGTGGGATTTGAACCCACGCCCTTTCGGACCAGAACCTTAATCTGGCGCCTTAGACCAACTCGGCCATCTCAACTTGATGCCTTGCGATAGAAACCAATTTAATTAATATGAATTTAGAATTTACACATTTTTAGCTAAGATCATTTTATGGTGATATGACAGCTAAATCTGATAATAATTCTATTTACGGAAAGAAAAAAAAATATGATAAAAATTCTTAAAATAAGCATTTTCTTTGAGTACTTGGATAAGCCATTTTAAATTGAATTTTCTACGGAATAACGTGTGTCATTTAAAATATATCTATGACCTATGTTAAATCACTTTAATTAATTTAATAAAAGTCAAGAAAATACATCGTTTTAAGATAGAAAAGTTTTAAAATACCTTAACCATTTATACTTCAGTTTAAATCCGAATTTACATAAAAATGCATCTAGTTATTACCAACTAAAGATTTAAGATTTCATCCACTTTAGATATGGCCCAGCACAGTCTACTAGCTAAACTTTGGAGCTTAGCAAGCCCAAGGTATGAGGTTTAATTCCTGCTGGGTGTTTTTTGTGCCTAACCTCCGCTACCCCTGCAATGACTTACCCGACCCAAGTGGGAAGGTGTCCTTCCGAGTTCTCAGAAATTAGTCGGGTTGTTGAGGGGCCTAAGGGTTCGTGCCATTTCGGACACTCCGGGTTAATAAATAAAAAGATTTAGTATTTTTAAATAATAAAGAACGTCTCTTTTCTGTTGATATCATGACAAACTATGTTCAAAACTTAAATTTTACAAAATTCATCTAATCAGATACTCTATACTATTAAATTGAAAACTTACTATTCAAGTTTCTTTAATCAGATCACCTTCTACATCCAAGTCAATACTATTATTTTAAAAAGAGAGTGAGGGAGCAATCTATTTTGGGGAAAATATGAGAAATCTTATAAGAGAGAGATGTTTACGTCTTCTCAAAGCATATTATCTTAAAACCGTGCAGTTTTTTTTATTATTATTATTAAATTAGCTGATGTAGCTTAATATAGGTCGTAGATATATCTTAATGACACTTATCGTTATGTAGAAAATTCAACTTATCATAACTTAGAGAAATTTTAACTTAGAAGATCCAAGTTCTGGACACTTGTATTTTTTAATATTAATGTTACATCAATGCAAAGTATATATATATATATTGAAGCTACAATATTATAATAATTTTACTTGAAGAGTACAACGCATTTACATTGAAGTTGCATTTTCGGAATAAATGTGTACATATATATAATGTGTTGCAATTTTTATATAATGATAACACCTTTAGTAATATTATGTTGTTGTTATAATGATGTTACGCATACACAACAAAGTACAATAACTTTATTTTTGATAACACCGAGTTAAAATTTAAAATCTGAAATTTAGTCCAAACTTTAAATTGAAACTCCTACCATTGTAAATTCCAATCTACTCCCAAAATATAGCAATAATAATAATAATAATTGTAAAAGAAGTAATTGTTCATTACTCATTATGATAATTCAAAAATCTAGTTATTGTTAGGAATTATGTCTCAAATTTCCATTATTATTAGTTTCTATTTTAAAGTGTATTTTTATAGTAATTTCTTATAGGGACGTGAATTGGGTTATAAGAAATTATAATCCTTGTCCACAAAGGAATTAGGTATGTGACTCTATAAATAGACACTTAGGCTATTGTTGAGAGTTATGAATTGAGAGAGATGTAATCTCACGAGGGATACGTTAATGGTAGGGGTGAGTTACGGGTTTGGTAGAGTGAACACTGATGGCGAGAGGGAGTCTCCTGGAGTACACGGAGAGGTGAGTTACGGGTTTGGTAGAATGAACACTGATGGCGAGAGGGAGTCTCCTGGAGTACACGGAGAGGTGAGTTACGGGTTTGGTAGAATGAACACTGATGGCGAGAGGTAGTTTCGTGGAGTACACAGAGAACTTGGTCAAGAGTTTGTGTGCATTGTCCGGTGTTGATATTCTCTACTATTATAATATCTCTACATATATAGTGAATCTCTTATCATCCGTGGATGTAACCTTGATTTTGGGTAAACCACATATATATCTTGTGTTGTGGTTTGAATTGTTGTTTTCTTTCTTTCTTTTGCTTCCACTGTGCCCCAAAAGTGGTATCAGAGCTAAAGGTGAATGAGATCCAGAAAACACAAGAAGTCTCAACATGTGCTACAACGGGCTTCAGTTATAGGTAGAGTCAATCGGCTTGGTTACATGGCAAGGAGCTTGAGTAGTCAAAGTGGAGTCTTGGGGTTTTGACTGATTAAGTAACGTATAGTAGGGATAATCCGAGTTCTGCAATAAGATCGAGAATATTGAAATGGCAGATAATTGTCTAGATTCAATTGCTATGAGAAGCGATGATTGACATAATGGAATTTGAGCCAAGGTGGAGATTCTTAGGAATTATGTCTCAAATTTTCATTATTATTAGTTTCTATTTTAGAGTGTATTTTTATGGTAATTTCTTATAGAGACGTGAATCCTCTAAGAAATTGTAATCATTGTCCACAAAGGAATTGGGTATGTGACTCTATAAATAGACACTTAGGCTATTGTTGAAAGTTATAAGTTGAGAGAGATGTAGCCTCATGAAGGAGTATGTTGATGGTAGGGGTGAGTTACGGGTTTGGTAGAGTAAACATTGATGGCGAGATGGAGTCTCGTGGAGTATACGGAGAGGTGAGTTACGGGTTTGGTAAAG